TGCAATACGTTTCGTGAGAAATACATGATTTTCAGGAAAAATATCAAGGGTGCCAACAATTTCGGCCATGACTGTATATAGTGAGGTCAATTTACGCAGCGTGTAATATATATATTGTACATCCATATCAGTTCCTAACCCTCAAGGAGCTTACAATCTAAGGTCCCTAACTCACATTCATACATACACATACTAGAGCCAATTTAGAAAGGAGCCAATTAGCCTACCAACATGTCTTTGGAGTGTAGGAGGAAACCAGAACACAAAGAGAAAACCCACGCAGGCACAGGAAGAACATGCAAACTCTAGGCAGGTGGTGCCGTGGTTGGAATTCCAACCAATGACCCTAGTGCTGCCAGGCGGAAGTGCTAACCATTTAGCCACTGAGCTGCATATGTAGAAATACACCCCAAATTTAAAATGTATGCCAAAACGCGTCCGTGTGCATGTGCCCTTAAACTGTTGGCGGGTATAAACTGATGCCATGTGAAGATGCCTGCATGTACCTGCAGCAAACTTCAGTGTGACTGATTTGATCAAATTCCAGTCCATTCTGGTTTGGCAAAGCTTTGGCATTATTTAGTAATAAGAAAGTTTGATTTCCATCCTCCTGTCTCCCAGACATTCCTTTTGGCGAGTGAGGCAGCACATCATATTGATAATCCAAGACGAAACATATAGAAGTGGGTAAGATCCAAAAAACAGAAATTGTAGGAGCGTTAGGCAATCAAGTTTCAGCTCTAGGAAAGGGTGGGGACATTGAGAGTTGTGGAAGGTATGTGCACCTCTAGGTACCTGCACTTTATATTTATAAGCAGGTTTAATTTCTTGTTAAAGCACAAAGTCCTTTTAATGTAACTTGTGTCCATCGCCTTCATCGTATCATACTGACTGCATAATAGACTTATAGTAAATTACAGAAAGTTTAAATTTTTCCTTGTTAGCTATTATGTAATATGTTGCCGGAGAAAAGTATCGGATACACAAAAATAAAAGATCTGACATATATATATATATATATATATATTTATGTGAAAAATCTGTGCTATCTGGAACACTGCAAATCAAATCGTTACTATTAGCTCAGCAGCAGTTACTCAAAAAAACCTTGTAAGGTATCTCAAACACCAACCTACTTGTAACTGCGCTCCATCACTTATATCTATTTTATACCCAATTCATTAATCAGTGCAAATACATGTGATACAAATTAAATAAATAAATATTCATAAATGATCAGTCCAACCAAGTAAAAAAACTCTGCCAATAAACAGTCTTTCGTGTGACTTCAGTGCCAAAAAACACAAACAGAAATCGTGAAGTGATCTCCTGCAGTCACTGTATTGTGTGCATCCACAAATGTTCATGCAACTAAAGTTCGCTGTAACTGCAAACAATCTAATCAAAAATTATAATGAGTGTCCCGTGAAATATATAAAATGTTACCTCGTGTTGCTTCCTTCGCACACAATGTACTCACCACTCGAAACCAAGTTCAATTGTCTACAATGTCCTCCTCTTTGAAACAGACCGCAACTCTCTTCCTAACATGGACACTCCTCTCCATCACCTGTAATTTCATCCAGCTCCAGTAAAATTAAGCCGTTTCACCCGATCCAGTCACATCCTGTCACACACAGACATAAAAAGGGAAAAGGGGGATGCCCATAGTGTAAAAAAGCTATCATATTTCCTAAAACATAATAAAGTAATGCACTTACAATTTTCTAGTGCCACCCCGACACTAAGCGGAACACACTATATCTCTAAAATCACGGTCAGCTCTGGTCATATTACCAAGCAACGAGCAGGCAGGCTTGTGCGAGATAACTTCACAATGCAGTCCACAACTTACGCGTTCCAGCGTCCAGCTGTCATCTGAGGTCCTCAGATGACAGCTTGACACTGAAACATGCAAGCTGTGGACTGGGTTGTGAAGTTATCCTGCACAAGCCTGCCTGTGGGGGTTGGCACTAGAGAATTGTAAGTGCATTACTTTATTATGTTTTAAGAAATTTTAAAGCTATTTTACACTATGGGCGTACCCCTTTTTCCCTTTTAGGACATGATTTGATCTGGTGAAACAGCTTAATTCTACTAGAGCTGAATGAAATTACAGGTGATGGAGAGGAGTGTCAGTGTTGGGAAGAGAGTTGCGGTCTGTTTCAAAGAGGTGGATATTGTAGACAATTGAATTTCATTGTTTAATTGGTTTTGGTTGATGAGTATATTGTGTACTCAGGAAATAACACAAGGTGAACATTTATACAGTGGGGAAAATAATTATTTGATCCCCTGCAGATTTTGCAAGTTTGGCCACCTACAAAGAAATGAAGGGTTATCATAGGTGTATTTTAAATGATAGAGACAGAATATCCACCAAATATCCAGAAAAAAAACAAACACGATAAAAATGTTATAAAACTGAGTTGCAATCAGTGAGCAAAGTAAGTATTTGATCCCCTTCCAACCAACAATAATTCTGGTACACAGATTAGTCCTGTTATGTGTATAAAAGATTGTAAGCTCCAAGGAGCAGGGCCCTCGAACCCCTCGTGTATCGAATTGTATTGTTACTGTACTGTCTCGTGTACTGTCTCCCATTGTAGTGTACAGTGCTGAGCAAACCGTGGCGCTATATAAATACTGTATAATAATATAATAATTATAAATAATATTAAAAGACACCTGTCCACAGAATCTCTTTTTCCATTCAAACCTCACTATCATGGTCAAAAGACGTCAGAGACAAGATTGTAGACCTGTACACGGCTGTAATGGGCTACAAGACCATCAGCAAGAAGCTTGGGGAGAAGGAGACAACTGTTGGAGTGATTATTAGCAAATGGAAGAAATATAAAATGACCATCAATCGCCCTTGGTCTGGAGCTCCATGCAAGATTTCGCCTCATGGGGTAAGGATTATCATGAGAAAAGTGAGGAATCAGCCCAGAACTACACGGAAGGAGCTTGTGAATGATCTCAAGGCAGTTGGGACCACAGTCCTCAAACAAACCATTGGTAAAACAATACACCGCCATGGATTGAAATCCTGCAGCGCCCGCAAAGTCCCCCTCCACAAGAAGGCACATGTACAGGCCCATCTGAAATTTTCCAATGAACATTTACACGATTCGAAGGACTGGGATAAAATGCGGTGGTCAAATGAGACCAAAATTGAGCTCTATGGCATTAACTTGACTCTCCGTGTTTGGAGGAAACAAAATGCTGACTGTGACCCTAAGAACACTATCCCTACAGTCAAGAATGGAGGTGGAAAAATTATTCTTTGGGGATATTTCACTGCTAAAGGTACAGGCTGACTTTGCCGCACTGAGGGGCCAATGGATGGGGCCAGGTATTGTAAAATATTGGATGAGAACCTTCTTCCCTCAGCCAGAACACTGAAAATGGGTCATGAATTGGTCTTCCAGCAGGACAAAGACCCAAAACATACCGCCAAGGCAACAAAGGAGTGGTTCAAGAAGAAGCACATTAAGGTCATGGAGTGGCATAGCCAGTCTCCAGACCTTAATTCTATAGAAAATTTATGGAGGGAGATGAAACTTCGAGTTGCCAAGCGACAGCCAATAAACCGTAACAATTTAGAGAAAAGTAAAGAAGAGTGGACATAAATCCCTCCTGAGATGTGTGCAAACCTGGTAACCAACTACAAAAAATGTCTTATCTCTGTGCTTGCCAACAAGGGTTTCTCCACAAAGTACCAAGTCAAGTTTTGGTTGGGGATCAAATACGTACACAGTGCCTTGAAAAGTATTCATACCCCTTAAAATTTTCCACATTTTGTCATGTTACAACCAAAAATGTAAATGCATTTTATTGGGATTTTATATGATAGACCAACACAAAGTGGCACATAATTGTGAAGTAGAAGGAAAATGATAAATGGTTTTCAAATTGTTTTTCCAAATAAATATCTGAAAAGTGTGGCATGCATTTGCATTTAGCCCCCTTTACTCTGATATCCCTAAGTAAAATCTAGTGGAACCAATTGCCTTCAGTAGTCACCTAACTAGTAAAGAGTCCACCTGTGCGTAATTTAATCTCAGTATAAATATAGCTGTTCTGGGAAGCCTTCAGAGATTTGTTAGATAACTTTTTTGAACAAACAGCATCATGAAGGCCAAGAAGCACATCAGACAGGTTAGGGATAAAGTTGTGGAGAAATTTAAAGCAGGGTTAGGTTAAAAAAAATACCAAATTTTGAACATCTCAAACAGCACTGTTCAATCCATCATCCGAAAATGGAAAGAGTATGGCACAACTGGAAACCTACCAAGACATGGTCGTTCACCTAAAATGAAAGGCCGGGAAAGGAGAGCATTAATCAGAGAAGCAGCCAAGAGGCTCATGGCAACTCTGGAGGAGTGGCAAAGATCCACAACTCAGGTGGGAGAATCTGTCCACAGGACAACTATTAGTCGCGCACTCCACAAATCTGGACTTTATGGAAGAGTGGTAAGAAGAAAGCCATTGTGGAAAAAAAGCTATGAGAAGTCCCGTTTGAAGTTTGCAAGAAGCCATGTGGAGGACACCGCAAACATGTAAAAGAAGACGCTCTGGTCAGATGAGACCAAAATAAATATTTTTGGCCTAAAAGCAAAATGTGTGGTGAAAAACTAACACACCATCCCCATTGTGAAACATGGTGGTGGCAGCATCACGTTGTGGGGATGCTTTTCTTCAGCAGGGACAGGGAAGCTGGTCAGAGTAGATGGGAAGTAAGTAAATGCAAATTATCCTCTTTATTTTTTTATTTTTTTTTCCAAGGACAGGACCACTCAAAATGTGTCTCTTAATTAAAGTCTCTGTAATTCTTAAACCATGTCATATGACGTCCTCCCACTCTAACCGCTCATGCACGCCCCGGGGGGGGGGGGGGGCTGGTGGGGGGTGCACAGCGTGGCGATTGGGGGTGCGCTGTGTCCGTGGGATCACCAATCAACGGAAAGAGCTGATGACGTCGGCTCTGTCATGTGATCAGCTGTGTCCAATCACAGCTGATTGCATGTAAATAAGGAATTGCCGGCTATCGGCATTCCTCTCCTCACAACTTGTCACGCTGATAGCTCATGAGGAGGAGAGCCGGTAATCGGCATTACTCAGAGGGGACATGTACACTGATCATCAGGGCACTGATGATCAGTGTGACCTGATGATCAGTGTAGCCTCTTCAGTGCCACCTGTCAGTGCCCATTAATGCTACTTGCCAGTGCCCATCAGTGCCACATCAATGCCACATATCAGTGCCTACCAGTGCACATCAATGCCACATATCAGTGCCCATCTAAGTTGCCTTTCAGTGCCACCTATCAGTGCCAGTCAGTGCTGCCAATCAATGCCGTCTATCAGTGCAAGTCAGTGCCGCCTATCAGTGCCCGTCGGTGCCCCCTAACAGTGCCAGTGAATGCCACCTATCAGTGCCACCCATCAGTGCTATATATGAGTGCTGCCTTTCAGTGCACATCAGTGATGTCTGTCAATGCCCATCAGTGCTACCTACCAGTGCCTCCTCATCAGTGCCCATCAGTGCAGCCTATCAGTGCCCATCACTGCAGCCTCATTAGCGCACATCAGTGAAGGAGAAAAATCACATATTTACAAAATTTTATAACAGAAACGAAGAAAAAACTTTTTTTTCAAAATTTTCAGTAGTTTTGGTTTGTTTAGCAAAAAATAAAAAACCCAGAGGTGAAAATAATTACCACCAAAAGAAAGCTCTGTCTAAAAAAAAATTATAAAAATTTCATGAGTACAATGTTAAATGACTGCGCAATTGTCATTCAAAGTGCAACAGCACTGAAAGCTGAAAATTATCCTGGGCAGGAAGGGGGTATAAGTGCCCTGTAGGTAAGTGGTTAGGATAACAGTTTTCAGGTAAGATGGGGGTTGATTTACTAAAACTAGACAGTGCACGATCTGGTGCAGCTTTGTATGGTAGCCAATCAGCTTCTAACTTCAGCTTGTTCAGTTAAACTTTGACAAAACAAAACCTGGAAACTGACTGGTTTCTATGCAGATCTGCACCACATTTTGCACTCCCCAGTTTTAGTAAATCAACCCCGTAGTTCAATCAGTTTAAGGCCCCTTGCACACAGGCAACATAATTTACTGATGTTTACTCAGGAACTTGTGACGCCTGTGTGCAAGGGTCCAAAAACTGTATGTAAAGACCTGAGTGATATTATATAATATAGGCGAGTAAAGGTGTGCAAGTATAAAGACGAGTAAAATTCTTCTTCACTGACAATATTGTAATATTTTTTGCAATACGAAACGTCCCGCAGAACACATTAAATTTGTGAACCGATGTACGCATGTATACTCATTTATATTGGCTTAAACATGCTTATAGATAAGCAAAAAAGTGAATGCCAGTAAATTACTGCACTCAAATGAAAAAATGTATGTATTACTGATTCTTACTCAGCTGTGTACAATGTCCCATAGACAACAATGCATCTCATTTCAGATCAGGAAAAAGTCAGCATTTTTTACTCCTGTGTGCAAGAGGCCTGGAGCAGAGTTACAACTTTAAACAGATGACAACAGCAAAACTGCTTATGGTTGCTAGATATACAAAACACATTAAATATGTTATGAGATGTTACATATTGATAGGAGCCACTCAAAGCAAACAGGTAATCCCTGATCCAGTGGGATTATGAGACACTATGGAGTATGAGAGGGCAGATATGCAGTAAAGTCTGAAGAAAATGTAAATGCATTAGGGATTGTAACAGCCTGTGATACTGCACTGCCAGTAGTAGACTAATCCCAAGTCACATCAATCATATCCATGACTAAAGTTAAAGGGTTGAAATTTGCAATGCACCAATCCACTGAGCACTCTGGTTGCTATCTCCGAGCAGCAGCATTAGGTAATTTGCTCCATATAGAAACCAGTCTCGACTCACACTCTCCCTCTATTGGACTTACTGCGCCAGCTCTTTTTTTCCCCTTTAAAAAAATCAATATTTATTGTATAATTTTCGTTGTACATGACTCTTGCATTATCATCCAAAAGAAACCTGATTAGAAAGAACCAATATTTCAAACAATATTTTACAATGCATTTTAGAATGCTGCAAAAATGACAATTACCTGTAAAAAGGGTTTATTTTGTTTACTATTACCTAACTAGTTATGATGTGATCACTTCCAGTACAGGGCTGGGCTATGATGGAAAATGCATAATGCTTTACTTTCAGTGAAAGCTTTTAGCCAGTGTCATAATGTGGAGAGAGAAACAAAATGCTGCAAATGGTCAAAACAAAGTTTACTTCTCTTTTCAATAATTCAAGGATAAATTAGATACATTTTAGAGGCTCTTTCCACTGAGCAGTCATATTAATTATCTATGGAAATGTATATAGGAGTAAGACTTTAAAACCACACCAAGTCAAAATGCACAATCTAAACCAGCCGTATGCTAAAAGAACTGCATGATGGTCAGTAGTTAAAACACTAATGCTCCACGCTAGTTGTTGTACTGGTAAGCCATTTTAGGTACAGTGAAAGAAATAAGTATTTGATCCCCTGCTGATTTTGAATGTTTGCCCACTCACAAAGAAATGATCAGTTCAAAAATCGAATGGTAGATGTATTGTAACACTGAGAGACAGAATAGCAACATAAAATTCAAAAGAAATGCATGTCTAACAAATTTATGCACTGATTTGCATGTTCATGAAGGAAATAAGTATTTGATCCCCTATCCTTCAGCAGGATTTCTGGCTACCAGGTGTCTTTCATACAGGTAACAAGCTGAGATCAGAAGCAGTCTCTTAAAAGGGAGTGCTGCTAATCTCATTTTGTTACCTGTATAAAAGACACCTGTCCACAGGAGCAATCAAACAATCAGATTCCAAACTCTCCACCATGGCAAATACCAAAGAGCTTTCCAAGGATGTCAGGGACAAGATTGTAGACCTACACAAGGCTGGATTATCGCCAAGCAGCTTGGTGGGAAGGTGACAACAGTTGGTGCAATCATTCGCAAATGGAAGACACACAAAACAACTGTCAGTCTCCCTAGGTCTGGTGCACCATGCAAGATCTCACCTCGTGGAGTGTCAATGATCATGAGAACAGTGAGAACTCATCCAAGAACTACACGTGAGCCTTGTCAATGATCTCCAGGCAGCTGGGACCACAGTCACCAAGAAAAACACACTACGCCGACAAGGATTGAAATCCTGCAGTGCCCGCAAGGTCCCTCTGCTCAAGATAGCACATGTCCAGGCTTATCTGAAGTGTGCCACTAAACATCTGAATGATGCAGAGGAGGACTGGTTGAAAATGTTGCAAACTGTTGTAATTCCTACACCCCCTTCACCTGATTTGGATGTAAATACCCTCAAATTAAAGCTGACAGTCTGCAGTTAAAGCACATTTTGTTCGTTTCATTTCAAATCCATTGTGGTAGTGTATAGAGCCAAAAATGTTAGAATTGTGTCGATGTCCCAATATTTATGGACCTAACTGTATGTAGTGTGACTCTGACATAATTTAAAGATGCTTCTGAGATTATTCAGAATTCATTAGAGCTACAGCTGACTTGCATTTGACCTTCATCTGCTTTTGCATTCCCATTGACGCTACCTGTGATGAAACGCATGGGGTTGAGCCAGGCACACACGCTACTGCGCATGCGTGAACTGCCGTGGCCATTTTGAAACTGGAAAATTTTTTTTTTTTTTTTTGCCAATCAATGCCTAATGATGTTTGTAACGGAACCGGACCCTGACTGCACTACGGTATTTCCGTTAAACTCCCGATTCCCTGTCCGAACACAGATCCACGGACACCACCACTGACCAAACAAGACAAGACCAGTCTTGAAGGAAACCAGGAAATAGACTTAACACTCTAAACAGTAAGTCAATTAGGTTAGCTAGCTGGGTGATGGAAACAAAAGGTGAATGGAAATTCACACCTAGACAATGGTTGGATGAATTAGGATCTCACTAAAGAGCAGACGGTCAGGCTCCTTCAATTCACGTCTAGTTCAGAATCAACAACCAGGAATAGTCTTCATAAAGCTGCTAAATATTATTGTCACATCTGAAGTAATTCCAACCGCATTCTCAGCGTCCATTAGTCACCCTGTGCCCCTAAGAGACACAGGGTGACTTAGACAGAAGAGGGATATGGGGAGCTGAGACAGGGGTCTCCCCACCCCTCCAAAGGGGGCTGTGTTCCATGGGCCCCCCACCCAAAGTGACTCCCGTCACAATGTTTACTTACATGTGAGTGCAACCATACTTTAAATAAATGTTGTGATTATGGTTTTACACTATGTGGAGCGTTCTTTTTATTTGCATGTTTTCCACTAGGAGTCCAAGCCTTATCCAGAATGGTTTAGCTTCCTTAATTAAGGTCCATTGTTTGGAAGATCCTTATCTGATGTTTTGGTGATCTGGAGGAGGATTCAAGTGACCGTCTTTCTGGATTGTTTAACAAAGCGTTATTGACCACTCCTAACGGGGTCATGCCTTTCCTTTGGTGACAGGACAACTGTCCTTGGATTTCTTTGTTTTATCACAGCCTCTGGGACTTTTTTTTCTTTTATTTTTTGAGGGACTATTTTTTTGACACATTTTATGTATTTATTGTTGATTGCCTAGTTGATACTAGGCAATCAACAATAAATACATAAAATGTGTCAAAAAAATAGTCCCTCAAAAAAATTTTTTTTTTGTGTTCAGCTGCTATATGTTTTACACCTCATTATTGATTATCTATTGTGGTTCATATTAGCGCAGGTTTATATATATATATTTATCCTTATTCCCATTGACTTGTATTGGAAGAAGCACGGTACTAAAATCAACAAAACCCCAACAACACTGGCACTAAAAAAATGTCCACTGAGGGATCAATAAAGGTGTGGTAATTATAACACACCTCCTTGTGCCCCATGATCTAGAAGATAAGACATGTTTTTCAAAGCAATTTTAGAATACGATTAATTATTCATACTGGTATACGGAAACTCATGGCAGCACAAGCTTCATGTTTAGCTAACCAATGCTCGGATCTTCTTGCACCTCCAAAATGCAATCTCACTTCTTAGATGTTGTAAAACAGTAATTTTAGTACACCTGTGGCAGGAAAAAAAAAAATCTAACATAACTGCCAGCACCCTCTACATAAGTAATGGTCAACTTACTAGATATAAAAGGAACTCAAGTGCAGCTGCTCACATCAACAAAGATTTACACTAAACCTAGATTCATACATGTGTCTGCATTTGAATGGGCACGGCATCCCATTCATTTGAATGGACTGCTTTGCCTGCATTTCCCGCAGAAAAAAGGTACATGTACCTTTTTCAAAACGCAGCTGCGGAGAAAGCTCATAATGCTTTTGAC